ACTTCCCCTGGTCTACAGTCGCCGTTATTTAATTGCATTGTTTGATTTGTATTTGTAAGCAAGATGCATGCATATTTCATGCAGGAAAATGAACAAGGTTGTCTTTCACACCAGATCTTGGCAGTTTCTCCGGTTTTGAGTGCTGAATGTCAGACTGACACCATGTCTCCACTGCAGAAGTGTGTGAAAGGTTAACACGGTATCTCTGGGTTCCCCTTTAGTTTGCAGAGAACAGGAAGTAGGGTTTTGTTCAAATGAGATGTTGGCAAGCAGAGTGGATATTATCTGAAGGAAAACAGTGCAGCTCTTCCACGTGCTGACATGCGGGACACTGAGTGCATTTCAGAGGCTCGTGCTCACTTGTCTGCAGTGTTAAATCATGTGCATCTCCTGAAGCTCTGCTGAATTGATTCAGCTGCTGTGAGCGTCCTCCTACAGGGTCATGACAGTATTTGGCATTTTATCCTCGTGTTGAGTGCTGCATTTAGTTTATCGGTTTTCTTTCCACATGTTTATAGTGAATCAACTTGGGACTTTTGTTTTTGAACCATGTGAATCATCCTAATGCTACTCTCTGCTTAATCTTTTCATCAATCAGATAATAACTTGTGGTGTTATTTCTACTCCGAAGTCTTAAAGTACTAATTATGTCAATAGCACTTAACCTATAGGTTTTTGTTTGTTTGTTTGTTTGTTTGTTTTTAAATGATCAATGCTAATATTTACAGTCCATAATTAGGATTTTCCATATTTGTATGGATTTCCATTTTTTCTGACCCGAAGTATGACCAAATCTCGGAGTGATGCACGGCGGCACTGTGATCGTTTACACGTGAGCAGCTCATGATCCAGTGTTTTCAGTATCCCGGAGCTGCTTGGTTTGCTGTTCTAAGCAAGCACTGCGAGTTTGGGTTGAATTTGGGAATGTGCATTTGAAACCAACCATCTTTACAAACTTGAAATGAGAATTGTTTATAAATCTGTTCAGCAAAAGAGAACCTTTAACATCTCCCTACAGTTTCTCACCAAAATAAAAGCCCTAGTTTAATGTTTGAAAGCAAGACATCCATAAATATTAGTATTGTAATTTTATTATTATTATAACAGTTTTTTTATTTTACAATACAATAATATTATTGCAACAGTAATATATTTTTTCCTTTAACTATTATTTTAAATAATAATAATAATAACTTTTATTATTATTATTATTATTATTGTTGTTGTTGTTCAGTCATATTGCTCTTGATGTATGGTGACCTTGAGTGATCTGAGGCCCTGTCCACACGAACGTGGTTATTTTTAAAACCACATCTTTTTCTAAGTGGTTTGGCCGTTCGTCCACACACAAACGCCGCACCAGGTCACTGAAACCGAACATTTTTTAAAACTCCTGCCATGGTGAAGATTTTCAAAAACTCTGTTTGTAGTGTTATTGTGTAGACGGCGAAACCAGAGTTTTTGGCTTGTGACGTCAGAGCCTGCACTGTTATCTCCGCCTACTGGAAACTTTTTCAGGCTTCTGATTGGCCAACATGGGACATGTTGTGTGGACATGGCCTGAAAGGCACCTTAAATAAAATGTATTATTTTCATTGTTATATTCAGTGGCATAAAACGCTTTCCTACACATGCCTGAGGATACTTATATAATGCTTGTTTTACACAAAATGTAATGTACCCAAAATTACTTAATAACTAACATTTAAAAACATGGTTTTTGGCAGATTGATAAGAGGGGATTTATTATTATTACGGTGCTCACACACACATTTCTCCTTTTTTTTTTTGCATCATGTAGGACCTGGGCCAAGACCATCCCGGGCAAGGTGGAGTTTTTCTCCAGCGAGGGTTCAGACACAACAATCCCCATCCCCATTGTGGCTCTGCAGAACGTGGACGACTCGTACCCTCCACAGAAGAAGTCCTTCATGATGCTCAAGTACATGCATGACCATTACCTGGACCAGTTTGAGTGGTTCATGCGAGCCGACGATGACGTCTACATCAAAAGTGAGAAGCTGGAGAGCTTCCTAAGGAGTCTCAACAGCAGCGAGGCCTTCTTCCTCGGTCAGACGGGCATGGGCGCACGCGACGAACTGGGCAAGCTGGCCCTGGAGCCGGGCGAGAACTTCTGCATGGGCGGCCCTGGCGTGATCATGAGCCGTGAGGTGCTGCGCAGGATGGTGCCCCACATCCGCCAGTGCCTGCAGGAAATGTACACCACCCACGAGGACGTGGAGGTGGGCCGCTGCGTGCGCAGATTCGCCGGCGTCCAATGCGTCTGGTCCTATGAGGTAAGAAGAACGTGCAATACACCTGGATACTCTTGTAAAATTACAGGGCCAAACCACAGCGATCAGGGTACCATTTGCATAATTATTAGTGTCCTATATTTCCTCCAGCTCAGGCTCGAGGTTTCTAATGCATATTGTTTGAAATCAGCCTCTTCATTGAACTCCCAGAGCTGCAATTTTTGGGTCCTGGAAATTATAGGTTGTAGCGAATTAGAAAAGGCCTGCGTTCTTTTCACCATCAAAACTCCCAGGCGGCTTTGATCCTTCAAAGGGTTTCGCCGATACCTGACCAGGTATTACAGAGAGAGCCGGACAATAGTGGAGTGCAGCCCGTCTCTACTGTTCAGGGATGGTGGGTCTAGATCAGCTGTTTTATCTGAGCACTTATAGGAAATGAAGCTTTGGACGGTGACTTTTTTGAAAGGGTGACCTCTGACCTTGGAGAGATGAGATGAGTCATCGTCTCTTCAATGGATGGAGTTCATAATGTGCTGTGACAGCCTCTTACTCCCCTTCTCTTTTTGTGAACATGAAAAGACTGAGAAATGCTTTGTAAAAAGGAGTCATTTGCATCCAGGTGAATCTCATGCACTGTCCAGAGAACATGTCCGTCATATTTCACACAAAACTAAACATTTTCTCTCTCTCTCTTTTTTTTTTTTGCATAACAATTACAAATTTGACATCATTTTCCAGATGATTCCAAGACCCAGTTCTTATTACCATGATGCTTTCATTTGGAATTTCTTTTGTGATTGTAGTAATTTTAGATTTTTGTTAGATTCTTAGCATTTGTCATCCATTTTTAAAAAAAATAATTTTGTAAAAAATTATAGTAAGGTCCCTTTAGTTAACATTAGTAACTGCAATAACTAACAATGAGCAGTACATTTGTTCCAGCGTTTATTGATCTTTGTTAACAACTGTTTATTGTTGGTTCATGTTAGCTCAGGTCCTTTAAATGATATTAACAGACAAACATATGATTTTAATCATGTCTCAGGAAATGTTGTTAATATTAACTAAGATTAATAAATGTTTTCATTGTTAGTTCATGTTAAATAATGTTGACAAATACAACCTCTTTTTAGAAAATTTGACTTATTACAGTAAAATTACATCTGTATTTGTTCTTACATTACTAAAGTGCATTATAAAATATAGTAATATAAATGATATTTATGAAAATGAAGAACATTTGCTACCATCAGTTCTCATTAATCCAAAAATCATTCAATCTTATTACTGTAATGTGAAAATATATATATAGCTGATTTGAATTAAATCAAGTCTTTATATTACAGTAATTTAGGTCTAATCGAGTAAAAACTACTGTTTTGCAGTATTGAAAATGTATTGAGAATGACTGTTGCAAGTAAAAAGATCTGGATGCATTGCGATTATGAGCCTAATTTGCTGCTTTTTCATGAAAATAATTTTTACAATGCAAAATGTTACCATGGCCCTAAAATACAAATAGTCTTTATCATGCTGAAATATGATTTTGTGAAATGTGACCCGGGCATGTTGCTCCATCTACATCTCCAGGTGTTTACTATGGAAAAGGGAAAGGAAACTGATATTTAGTACGGCTCTTTTATGTTTTACATGGATTTCCTTCTTTTTCTTTCAAATAGACTTTGGATTCAGTCAGACGACGTGATGCGGCTCTTTCCCATTTTCGACTAGTTTTGAGTAAAGCGCTTTGCATTTTTCTCCAACATCTCGAATAAGTCTTTGCGTATCGTTTAGTCTACCAAGACCATCCGTCAAGGCGAGATTACCTTTTTTCCATCTGCTCCCGATGAAGGAGCCACATGCGCAATCCGTCACTGTAAACGTGACATCGCTTTTCACAAATTTGCAAAATGGAAAAATTAAAGGGTTGGAAAGTTATCAGAGGTGCTCCATGAGTCTTTTTCGGCTTGTGGAATGGGGCGGAATTGGAACCTCAGAGTCTCCCCCGTGACTGGGGCCGCTGGGATTTTAATGTGCATTTGATGTGTGCTTTAATTACAGCCGTGCAGGATTAGTTAGAGACGGCACAGCTGGGCAACCTGCTATTAATGTCGGAGCGTTCGGCCCTCTGGTTCTTTATGGACCTACTGCACTGCAAGTCTCAATGGGCCCCGCGAGTAAAGTGACCTCAAAGACCTCACAGCTCAAAATGGCAGCCTGTTACTCCCTTAAATACTGATATTAAGCGTCTTTGTCTGTTTAGAGCTTCTCAGATGTGTATCTGTCTGTGCTGCCGCTCAACTTCTGTTTGTTTATAGCCAGAGCGCAAACAGTCTCATCTGAGCTCTGCTTTGGGCTGGCAGCTACTTGAGATGAGTCCTGTGCGCAATTTAATTGGCTGTAACGAAACGGACACATTTTCTCTGAATGCACGTTTAGTTCTAATTTGACTGTACAGTTACACATGATTCCTCGATTGAACACGGGACTCGAGCCGTATCCAGAGGCCAGGATATCACAGTGACGTGTGGGTGTTTTTCACGGACAGACAGTCTTTTATCTAATCTTTTACTCTTCAGCAGACTGATATCAAACCTTGGCAGTGCTCAGCCCCGGAGCTTGTCACCTGTGTCATATTGAAGCTGTCGATCTGGGATGCGTCCCGCAGCTGCTCTGGTGTCTCTCACATGCTGACCTTGTCCTGCCCTCATCGCTGCCTTCCACATTTTAGTTTCTAAACATAACCGTTCTGTCTTTGCCACTCCTGCTGAAGTGTGCATTTGATGGGCAGTGCCTCTGGCTGGTAGTGACTAATATATAAAATGACCGATTTGGTGATATACATACTAGGGTTGGGTATTGTTTAAATTTGATCAATTCCAATTCCGGAATTTATGGTTTAAAAAAAGTCAAACATTTAGATATCAAACATCTTTATTCTGTCTCTTTTTGCAAAACATTTAATTGCTGCTGAATACCATGAACAAAAATCAGCCGGCTACATAAAACTGGACTCGATTAAGAGCTGTTTGTTTGCAAAATAGAGCTGCACGATTCTGGATAAATTTAGAATTTTATTTTATTTTATTATTATTTTTTTAAATTTAATTTTAATTAAATTAATTTAATTAATTTTTTAATTCTGAAGAAAAAAATATAAGACAACTAAACAAAATCTCATGGAATTTATGAATGGAATGATTCAATGACTCACTCAAGATTTACTTGTTTCATTACTGGATGAATCGGTGTATTTGAATGAATCTCTTGAATGAATGAATCAAAGACAAATATATTTTTAACAGCCCCTTTTTGCCACCTAAATAAAAGATGCGCAAACAGGAATTGATAGGTGAAATTTTCATTTTCATTTTACAACAAGTATCTGATTCCTGACCTTAAGTATGGATTCTGGAGATGGAATTGATTTTTGACTCCCAACCCTAGATATACACTTCTCTTCCATTCTATTTTGGGATCCATAAGATTTTTTATGTGTTTGAAAAGAAGATTTTTTTAGGCTTGCCAAGGCTCCATTTTATTTGTTCAAAAATACAATAAATTATTATTATTATTATATTTTTTATAATAAATATTTGATCATTAATTAGTATTATTGTTTTTATTATTAATTATATTATTATTATTATTTAAGACCCATTTTGTCTCTTTAGTAATATACAAGTGTTAAATTTTAACATTAATTCTGAAAATAAATATTTAAAATATTATTAGTCATAATAATATTTATATTTTCATTTAAAAATGATAAAATTATAAAGTTGAATTAGAACATTTAAAAATATGAATTATAAATGTAAATAAAATGTATATAATAGTAATAAGAATGACGTTATATTGAGCATTTATAATAATATTCACTCATTCTAATATGCTGATTGGAATGAATGAAGAAACATTTCTTCTTATTATCAGTGTTAAATACAGTTGTGCTGTGGTTTGTGGAAACCCTGATACAGTGTCTTTTCTTTGATCAGAAGTTTCTTTGATAAAGTTTTAAGAGCTGCAGTTCTTTGAAATCTTTTGTAACATTATAAATGTGTTTACTGTCAGTTTTGACCCAGCTGTAGTGTAATTTCTCATATCGTACATCCTTAGCTCATGCTGTTGTGAATGCATATTAAAGTTTGCATCTTTGTGCTTTTTAGTAAAACCTAGAAAGTTGTTGTGTAACACTCTCAGGGAAAGTCCTTAAAAATCCCTTTTCTGAAGTGTGTTATTGAGTGTAGACACACTGAATGCAGAAGTGAAGGCGTCTTGTTCAGCGCAGCAGTTTGGCTAATCTTTACACCAATTATATTGTCACAGATGTTCTGTCTAAATGACGTGTGGGACTTCAACTCGCAAATTACAACCGAAAGAAGAGCTGTCTTAGCTATTCCAAACAAATGTGCCAATTAGGAGTGGTGCAAAGTGGTAGTTTGTTCCATTGAAAATAGCGAACAGCCCTCGAGCAAGAACAATGCAAGATGCTCCTCGCTTGTTGTGTTGTACGCGTTTTGTCTCCAGTCATGTGACTGAGTGATTGCTCACATTCTGATTGATATTGACAAGCCATTATTTAGTTGTCAGCTCATCTGTTTGCTCCGAAAACAGCCGTAAATGGCGACACAAAGAATGGAAGCTGAAAGCCAATATTGGGCTCCACATTTTTTCCATCTGCGCCCCTAGATTTATGACTCTATTGTCACTAAACTGTCAGTGCATTTATTTGGTCAGGTCGTTGTCTTGCTAGCATAGATAGACCCTCTCAGAATCGTGCACAGTAAGGCCAGGGACATTTTTATTGATCAAGTAAATTGCAAAAAATAAATTAATACTTTTATTCAGCAATCTCAAAAAATCCATCTTTGCATTAAAAATATATCAAATTTTTCACAAAAGTCAGAAAAGCACAACTGTTTTCAACATTGATAATCAGAAATGTTTATTGAGCAGCAAATCAGCATATTAGAATGATTTCTGAAGGATCATGTGACACTGAAGACTGGCGTAATGATGCTGAAAATTCAGCTTTGCATCTCATAAATAAATTGCATTTTACAATATATTAAAACAGAAACCAGCTATTTCAAGTTGTAATAATATATCATAATATTACTGTTTTTACCATATTTTTGAACAAAGAAATGCAGCCTTGGTGAGCAGAAGAGACCTGGGTGTGTTTTGATTTGCCGTTGTCTTTGAGTCTTTTCTCCTTCACACAGAGTGTGTAATGGATACGTCTCGTCTGGCCTGCAGCCAGGCCCTCGAGTCATTTTGACATCTATCCTCATGCTGGCGTCATGCCGTGACTATATCTGCTTCAGGTTCCCATGTAATGATGATTGCATCTGTCTGTGAGTTTTCAATTGCGGGCGCTCTCACGCATGATTCAGCTCCCTGTGCAAACTCAGCAGAAGTGAAACTTGCCTTTTCAAGCACGTATTTCCACGCATCTGTTGTGTCAGTGACAGTGTGACCACAGATCTGTATCATAAAGGTCATAGACTTTCACCGAGTTGCTATTTGGCCATTGAATTTGAGTTGCTGTCGGTTAATGTTATTCAATATGGTTTTGATCAGCATTTTGCTTAAGTATGGAAAACTTTTGGAGCGTTGAATTGTCTTGGAACAATTAATTAAGACCTTTTAGAAAATAAGTAGGGTCGGTTTTGTTTTCATTTTGGCTTTTGTTTGTTTGAAATTATGGTTCATGTGATTGGGGAAAAATGCTTTTTAAGACAATTTAGGCTATGGCAGATACTCAAAATATTGAGTTGTGTTTTAAACTGTGTCATATGGCTGAAGTATGTTGATGTTGTTTTAGTTTTCTCTGCTACTTAAACCGCTTCATGATCCAGACCTCTGTTCTCTCACCTTCTCTATGTGTTGCATAGTGTGTCAATAAGACTTTGGTTTCTTTTTCTGCTTCGACATTCACAGGAAGTCAGCCTCCCACATGCATATTCTGTTCTTCGAGCTCTAACAAACAAATGCCTGTAATCGCGTGAGTCTATTTCTTGCCACTCGGCGAAGCCCGGAATTATACTGCCATGCAGTCCTGTATTTTGTGGCCATTTTCATGGAATCTTTTTTGGAGATCTATGCAAGATGGGTCATTATTGCGCTCAGTTATAGTATTTTGAGGATTGGCGGCGGTGCGCAGATATGTGAAGCTTTTCTCAAAAGCTCAAATAGTTTGTGCCGGAACTTCACCCGCAATGTTTGTCCACCATAAAAAAAAAATTTGGGGGGTTATTGTGCATTTCCATGCATCGCTGTGGCATTATAACAATGGATGGAATTTTGTTTTCCATTATATTTGATCTGTTTTAAAATATAATTGCCGGTAGATGGCATATAATACGTCATAGATGCGCTCTCAAAATATTCTGTTCACTTCTAAAGAAAGTGGTATTTTAATGGATTAGACCAGGGACCCTCAAATCTGGCCCACGAGATCCACTTTCCTGCAGAGTTTAGCTCTAACCCTAATCAAACACACCTGAGCATGCTAATCAATGTCTTCAGGATCATTAGAAAATCACAGGCAGCTGAGTTTGATCAGGGTTGGAGCTAAACTCTGCAGCGCATTGGACCTCCAGGGCAAGATTTGAGGAACCCTGGATTAGACTCTCCCAGAATGCTCTGCAATACACTTGGCAAAAACAAAGTGATATTTTAATTCAGCAAGGATGCATTAAATTGATCAAAAGTGAGACATTTATGTTACAAAAGATTGTTTTGAACTTTCCATTCATCAAAGAACCCTGAAAAAATATATCATGGTTTCTGTTTTGAACATTGATAATCAGAAATGTTTCTTGAGCAGCAAATCAGCATATTAGAATGATTTCTGAAGATCATGTGACACTGAAGACTAGAGAAATGATGCTGAAAATTCAGCTTTGATCACAGAAATAAATTAGATTTTAAAATATATTACAATACAAAACAGCTATTGGAAACTGCAATAATATTTCAAAATTTTACTGTTTTTACTGTATTTTTAATTAAATGGTGAGCAGAAGAGACTTCTTCCAAAAACATTACTGTAAATCTTACCGACTACAAACTTTTGAATCGTAGTGTTTACTAGTCTTTATTTTACACTGAGTCCTAAATGAATTAGAAATGATCTGTTTACCCAACATTTACAGTGGGGGAAAAAAGTATTTAGTCAGCCACCAATTGTGCAAGTTCTCCCACTTAAAAAGATGAGAGAGGCCTGTAATTTTCATCATAGGTATACCTCAACTATGAGAGACAAAATGAGAAAAAAAATCCAGAAAATCACATTGTAGGATTTTTAAAGAATTTATTTGCAAATTATGGTGGAAAATAAGTATTTGGTCAATAACAAAATTTCATCTCAATACTTTGTTATATACACTTTGTTGGCAATGACAGAGGTCAAACGTTTGCTGTAAGTCTTCACAAGGTTTTCACACACAGTTGCTGGTATTTTGGCCCATTCCTCAAGAGCAGTAATGTTTTGGGGCTGTCGCTGGCGAACCCGGATTTTCAACTCCCTCCAAAGATTTTCTATGGGGTTGAGATCTGGAGACTGGCTAGGCCACTCCAGGACCTTGAAATGCTTCTTACGAAGCCACTCCTTCGTTGCCCGGGCGGTGTGTTTGGGATCATTGTCATGCTGAAAGACCCAGCCACGTTTCATCTTCAATGCCCTTGCTGATGGAAGGAGGTTTTCACTCAAAATCTCACGATACATGGCCCCATTCATTCTTTCGTTTACACGGATCAGTCATCCTGGTCCCTTTGCAGAAAAACAGCCCCAAAGCATGATGTTTCCACCCCCATGCTTCACAGTAGGTATGGTGTTCTTTGGATGCAACTCAGCATTCTTTCTCCTCCAAACACGACAAGTTGAGTTTTTACCAAAAAGTTATATTTTGGTTTCATCTGACCATATGACATTCTCCCAATCCTCTTCTGGATCATCCAAATGCTCTCTAGCAAACTTCAGACAGGCCTGGACATGTACTGGCTTAAGCAGGGGGACACATCTGGCACTGCAGGATTTGAGTCCCTGGCAGCGCAGTGTGTTACTGATGGTAGCCTTTGTTACTTTGGTCCCAGCTCTCTGCAGGTCATTCACTAGGTCCCCCCGTGTGGTTCTGGGATTTTTGCTCACAGTTCTTGTGATAATTTTGACCCCACGGGGTGAGATCTTGCATGGAGCCCCAGATCGAGGGAGATTATCAGTGATCTTGTATGTCTTCCATTTTCTAATAATTGCTCCCACAGTTGATTTCTTCACACCAAGCTGCTAACCTATTGCAGATTCAGTCTTCCCAGCCTGGTGCAGGTCTACAATTTTGTTTCTGGTGTCCTTTGACAGCTCTTTGGTCTTGGCCATGGTGGAGTTTGGAGTGTGACTGTTTGAGGTTGTGGACAGATGTCTTTTATACTGATAACGAGTTCAAACAGATGCCATTAATACAGGTAACCAGTGGAGGACAGAGGAGCCTCTTAAAGAAGAAGTTACAGGTCTGTGAGAGCCAGAAATCTTGCTTGTTTGTAGGTGACCAAATACTTATTTTACAGAGGAATTTACCAATTAATTCTTTAAAAATCCTACAATGTGATTTTCTAGACTTTTTTTCTCATTTTGTCTCTCATAGCTGAGGTATACCTATGATGAAAATTACAGGCCTCTCTCATCCTTTTAAG